CATTCTGTAGGACTGTAACTCCGACAACTTCTGCTCCAGTTTGAGAGGTTTCAACCACATCTAACCTCCAGAGCTACGAAATATTCTTCCGATTTTCACTAACGTTTGTCTTCCCCAGTTCTAATATGGCATCCCTCCCAAGCGACGCTACCCCCGTCGCTGGTTCCCTTTTTTATTTCCAAATTAATTTTTACTAACTACAATGTATTTTACTAATTTACATGCAAAAATACACAATATTTCGGAAAATACACAATTTTTTCCACAAAATCAATAACATGAAAATGAATTACAAAAGTATTAAAATGAAAAAAAAATCAGCTGAATATATTAGTTACACGAATGTTAACTATACTGTACCCACTCTGCTCATATTGAGTGCCCGGGGCACCATCCCCGGCATGGATGGAAACATTACTCACGAAATCGTAATGACACGATTGCAAACAAACCATACTACGGGCGGGTTCTAACCCCGCCCGTGGTATGGTTTATGGATGGAAATACTGGGCATGTTTCTTTGCACCTGTTGCCCTTGTTTACCTAGAAGTAAGTAGGTACCTGGGTGTTAGTCTACTGTTGTGGGTCACATCCTGGGTATTATTATTATTAGCATTATAATCGTGGGGGAGCGCTGAACCCGAAGGGATTATACAGCACCTGTGGGGGAGATGGAAGGTATTCAGGCTCGATTCAAGAAACAGGAGCACAGATCCGATTCCCTAGGTCAAGGGCCCCTCCCCAGCGTCAAGGAACCTCTGAGTGGTGGGGCAGGATATACCTTAGACAGGGCTGCACTCTGAAATGAGCTGAGGTAGGATAACAGATCTTAGCCTGTAAACTTGATGTGTAAAAATAATAATTTTCCTCCCTAGCTCTAGTAGGTAATTTTTTTTAGCTGTTACTAAATTGGTTTATACTAATACTAGCCTTGACCTGATCTGGCAACCCGACTTTTAATGCTGTGTAATACAGTACTGTGCATACTAATAGGGACAGTGATGAAATAAGACCTTTATTTGGAAAATGAATATTTGAAAAATACACGGCAATGATATGACAGATTATTTAATAAGAAATATGGCTACTCTTTGGTTTTATAAGTATTGCGCTCACCAAGGCGGGTACACTTTGGCATAGAATTGACCAATGTTGAACACATTTTGGCAAGTTCTTCGTCATGGTACCAGGTCCTAAACAGCAGCAATTAGCTTCTCCACAGTCGAACAGTCCTATTTTACTATCCTGCGTTTGGTTATTGCCCATAGATTCTCAATTGGGTTGAAGCCATGAGAGTTTCCACGCCAATTTAGAACGCTTAGCCCACTCTCTTCGAAGAATGCTAGCGTTTTTCTGGAGGTGTGGCACTGAGCAAACTCCTGCTGGAAAATGACTTCTCCATCAGGAAAGTCTCTGTCCACAACCGGAAGTAAATGAATTGCCAGGATTGCCTTGTATTTGTCACTGTTCATCGTCCCCTCAACATTTATTATAATCATAAGTAAGCGATAAGCCCACAAGGGTCATCCCTCGCCAATAACAAGCCGTCTAGGGCCTTCAACAGTAAAACTACCCCAAAACATCTTAGGTGCGTGTTTTGGCGCTTGTTGAATGTGTCCATGTCGAAGAGGTTCGCCTTTGCTCCGTCTCAATACCGCTGATCTGTACCTATGTACTTCAAAATGCCTCTCATCTGAAAATGTAACTTTTTTTCCATTTATCTGTCGTCCATCCCTTATGATCGAAGTGCCCACTGCAGCTTTTTTTTCTTTACAGTACCAGTTAATAATGGTTTCTTTACGGCTTGCTGACGGTTCTACAAGCTTCTAGGAACCTTCTTCGAACAGTTGAAGAATCAACATTTACAACAGCTTCATGAAGCCAAATCTCTCTGTAGATCTTTGCTGGTTTTCTTGGGATCCTTTACACTATTTCTTATGATAGTCGTGATGTGCAGTCTTGCGTTTTCTTTCGCATCTTCCTTGACGAAGCGCTCCACAGTCACCAGTGTCGTCAGCTCTCTTCAGAAATCGACCAACAGTTGACTGTGCTAGGCTCAAATTTTCGGGATCTGACTGATACTCAAATCAGCATGTTTTCTATTAGCTCCAATACTTGTACGCTTACTTGTAATATCCTTCATGAATTTCAGCAGTAATCATGAACGGGAGGGGAGAAATTGACAAAAACCACATTCATTCATGAAGCACACTTGTAGGAATAGCCTCACAGAACAACAGCTGTTGTAGAACTGACAAGACTCGCAGGGTAACACCACTGCTGGATGATTGCCAAATGTCGGTAGCAAACTCTTCTGAAAAGAAAAGAACCCAGCATACATTAAGTCAGAGACTAAAACATATTACGAGATAATCACAAAATTTATTCCTGTCCCAGCAGCACTGTGTGATCCCAGCGGGTTTATGGCTTGATTTTAATTATATTAATATTCCTGACCCAATTAATTTGGACACTACTGTAGGTGTTAGAGGTTTATCTGGAGAGGGTTTCGGGGGTCAACGCGCCCGCGGCCCGGTCTGAGATCAAGCCTCATGGTGAATCAGGGTCTGATGAACCAGGCTTTTAATGCCGGCCGCACGCAAGCTGACGTACGAACCACAGCCCGGTTGGTCAGGTACTGACTTTAGTTGCCTGTCCAGTGCCTTCTTGAAGACAGCCAAGGGTCTATTGGTAATCCCCCTTATGTATGTTGAAGGCAATTGAACAGTCTTGGGCCCCGGACACTTATTGTGTTGTCTCTCAGTGTACTCGTGGCGCCTCTGCTTTTCATCGGGGGAATGTTGCATCTCCTGCCGAGTCTTTTGCTTTCATATGGAGTGATTTTCGTGTGCAGGTTTGGTACCAATCCCTTCAGGACCTTCCAAGTGTATATTATCATGTATCTCTCTCGCCTGCGTTCGAGGGAATATAGATCAAGGACCTTCAACCGTTCCCAGTAGTTTAGGTGCCTTATCGCACTTATGTGTGCCGTGAAAGTTCTTTGTACACTCTCCAGGTGTGCAATGTCGCCAGCCTTGAAGGGGGCCGTTAGTGTATAGCAGTATTCCAGCCTAGAGAGCACATGCGATTTGAAGAGAATCATCATGGGCTTGGCGTCCCTAGTTTTGAAGGTTCTCATTATCCATCCTATCATTTTCCTAGCAGATGAGGTAGATACATTGTTGTCGTCTTTGAAGGTGAGATCCTCTGACATTATCACTCCCAGGTCCTTCACATTACTTTTCCGCTCTATTGTATGGTTAGAATTTGTGGTATACCCTAACACATTTTTAATTTCTTCAAGTTTTCCATATCTGAGTAGTTGAAATTTCTCCACGTTGAACTTCATATTGTTTTGAGTGACCCATTCGAAGATTTGGTTAATGTCCGCTTGGAGTCTCGCGGTGTCTTCGATGGAGGTCACTGCCATGGTGATCCGGGTTATATCCGCAAAGGAAGACACAGAGCTATGGCATACATCTCTGTCTATGTCAGAAATGAGGATGATTTATAGAATGGGAGCGAGTACTGTGCCTTGTGGAGCAGGCTTTTCACCGTGGTTGCCTGGGACTTCACTCTGTTTACTATTTCTCTTTGTGCTCTATTTGTCAGGAAGTTGTAGATCCATCTTCCAACTTTTCCCGTTATTCCTTTATCCTGCATTTTGTGTGCTATTACACCATGGTCACACTTGTCGAAAGCTTTTGCAAAGTGTATGTATACTACATCTGTATTTTGTTTATCCTCTACAGCATCCAGGACCTTGTCATAGTGGTCCAGTAGCTGTGACAGGCAGGAGCGACCTATTCTAAACCCGTGTTGCCCTGGGTTGTGTAATTGATGAGTATCTAGGTGGTTGGCTATCTTTCAAAGATTTTTATGACATAGTTTGTTAGTGCTATCGGTCTGTAGTTCTTTGCAATTGCTTTACTGCCACCTTTATGGGGTGGGGCTATGTCTGTTGTTTTTAGTGTGTATGGGATGACCCCTGTGTCCATGCTGAAGGCTCGCAATAGGGGCTTCTTGCAATTCTTGATGAACACGGAGTTCCACAAGTCTGGGCCTGGGGCAGAGTGCATGGGCATGTCATTAATTGCCTCTTCAAAGTCTTGTGGAGTTGGAATAATATCCGAGATGTTTGTGATGACCAAATTTTGGGTTTCGTTCATAAAGAATTCATTTGAATTGTCGACCCTTAGAGGTCAGACCAGTTACTGTGGGTACTACAAAATTGTGTTCAGTTTCCCTAGTACCATACTTGCTGCGGTTCCTAACTGCCAAAATCTGCAGTTAGATATTCTTGACACTGCTAGTGAGACATTTTATATACATGATTGAGCATCAGCTGCCTATCCAGTAGTTACAGCTGATCCTGGCCTACACGCTCTCTTGGATCCAGGTCCAGGATAAATCTCACCATAATTTGTAGTTTGTTTTTCAGTTTTTTTTTCTTTTTAGAACAGAGTACTATGAAGAAAAAGAATAATTTACATGACATACATAAGAGCTAGACTTCGGGTCCTGCGAGGCTCAGTAGGTAAGCATTGTGCCTCTCTGCTGAGGAACTTTAACCTGACATTTATTTAAAATAAATATTGGTCCATCAATTCTCCTGACTCTCTGGGATCAAAGGATATACCATTGTAATGTTCCTCGATACACAGTACATTAAAAGTATTTACGCTTGTCAGCGTAAATACTTTTTTACATAGCATGGTAAAAGTAGTAAAAAAATCGTAATTACACAAACACGGGACCAGGAGATAGAGCTTGACCCCCGCAAATACAGGTGAGCAGGGGATCAGGTTTAATGTCGGTAACAGATACTGGTGTGTAGCACAGACTTTTTTGTGCTCGCTGTAAATCTACACGATATACTAACACCTGTGTGTCCTCAAGACTATGTAAGTTCATTCAGGTTCATATAAATACAGTTATATTGTAAAATTTTAAATTTGTTATAACTAAATAAAAACTTACAGAACTCTTTTGCGATACAGGAGCAGGAAGATGGATTGGGTGGCAGTGTGGGTGGCAGGTGTGTGGGCGGCAGTGGTGATGGTGGGTGATGGAGAGGCTTTCAGTAGTGTGAGTGTAGCTGTGGTGTGTGACTCCATGCAGCCAGGACACCTGTCTCTGGGCGCCCAGACCGACCCGTCTCCATACCACATTCACATCACTTCCAAGGATGACTATTACTACGGTGAGATACTGTGTGTTTGAACACCAAGGCTTCTTTTTTTTACGAAAGACTAAGGTTGTTAGAAAGCATAAATATCTATTAGTTATTTTTATTATATTCACGATGAAGCAGCACACGAGTCATATGCATAGTATAAGTGGTGTACGAATGGTATATAATACCGACAAGATGAGAGTAAGACACATGTGCAACATCTGGGTATCTTTATTGTAGACGTTTCGCCATCCAGTGGCTTTATCAATACAAATTCTAGGACATAACTTGAAGACAGTAGAACTATGTACAGAAGATGAGGTAATCAGTCCCTCAACCTAGGAGTAGGTGCGAACAGCACCATAGTCGTGGTGCTGTTCGCACCTACTCCTAGGTTGAGGGACTGATTACCTCATCTTCTGTACATAGTTCTACTGTCTTCAAGTTATGTCCTAGAATTTGTATTGATAAAGCCACTGCATAGTATAAGTGGCTTTGGCATGCTGCTCTTATCTGTATTTTTTTGTACCTCTGTATGTATGCTCAAATTGTTAATAAAATAAATAAATAAATAAATACATCACCTCAGATGTTTTACCTTGACGGATCTCCCACATCAAAACAAAACAAAAAAATTAGTATCTTAGTGATACAATGTGTTTTATTTCTTACACTGTTAGTATTAACATTGTTATTGCTCTGAGTGGCCCTCATAGGTTTCAACATTTTTCACGAATATTACTGCTTATGATGATATTGATTTTGTTACAAACATTACCTTCCCGTACCGCAAGAGAGGAAATTATTCAATCATATAAATTAATTAATTTTACATCACTTATCTTAGCAAGGTTTGGCTAGAAAATTGTGTAAGTTTTTGATTAATGGGAAAAGACGGATCTGAAATCGAGTCCTGATGATTTTTCTTGCTCCTCAGTGACGGTTTTTGGAGAGAAAAACCGGGAATTTAAGGGCTTCATGCTACAAGCCAGGGACAGTAAGGGCCAGCGTGTGGGTCGCTTTATCAAGGTACAGAAGCCAGGCAGGATCATAGACTGTTCTTCCCACGACGGCGTGAGTATAACCCTATCACAGTTTCTTTACTCGTGCCTCATTCTAATTAAAATTACTTTTTTTTTCTGATCATTGTTTACTTAACAATTTTTTTGGTGTATATAAAATACAATCTTTAGTTTTTACATTTTGCAAAAAAATTTAATAGGAGAAGCCCATATTATAAACAGTTTAAGACAAATTCTAAATAAAGAAAATATTAATTTTAATCACATCGGCCGTCTCCCACCAAGGTCGGGAGGCGGCCCATGTGATTAACAGGAAACGTATTCACTATCATTCATTCAATAACTATTTTGCCAGAAGTGTGCAGACATCACAGTTCAAATGGCTTCAAACTGTAACATCCCCTTTCCCTCACGTCCGCAACTCAAGTTCGGCTAACCATGTTCCCTAAATGCCTTCATAAATGTTACCTTGCTCACACACCAACAGCACGTCAACCCATAAAACTACTTTTTCTACCTGTCATCTAACACACAAGCATGCTGGATGCTTAATCCCTTGACACTCAAAACCTCCTCTAGCTCCTCACTCCAACCTTTCTTTTAGCTCTTAGTTATGATTATAATCCAACCTTTCTTTGGATGACTCCTACCCCTCCTGCCTTCCACTCCAAATTTATACATCCTCTTGATCATCCTGTTCTGCTCTAGCCTCGCCAAATATCCAGTCTCTCCTCTACCATTTTAATTATACCTTTTATAACTCCACAATGTCTTATTTTTAAGCTTCAAATTCTCTCAAGTATTCATATAACACTTTGCTTTCAAACACGACATCTCCACTGCCTCTACCCTCCTCGTTGAATGCTTACAAGGCCATGCCTCACACCCACACAAAGTTTTGGTTCTACTATACTCTGGTACATTCTCCCTTTTGTCTTCACAGAAAAACTTCTTTATTTCCACAGTTATTTCAATACTCCATCCACATTTTGCCCCCTCATCTTTCACTGACCCATCTGCCAACATGTCTACTTCCAAAAATACTAATAAATTTACTTCCTCCATACTCACTCCCTCCAGTCTGATATCGAATCTTTCATTACCTTGGCCTTTTCTTACCCTCATCATCCTGCTCTTTTCCATATTAACTGTTAAATCCCTTCTTTTACACATCCTCCAACACTCCTTTCCCCATCGTCTGCAGCTTCTCTTTAAAATCTTCTAAAAGAATTCTCATTGGCAAAAAAAAAAAAACAAAAACAAATGTGACAGCTCCTATTTCGTATCAAATACCTTATGTTAAACACTTCGCTGTCTAACAACTATTTTTAATTTTACTGGAAAATGTTTCCCTTATCCTACATACCCTAACCTGAGCCTTACTCTGCGTAAAAACTCATTACTTACTCTTAGTATCCTATCATCTGTTTCCTACATTTGTAACATCTGCCACATTGATCTCTTAGACACTATTATATACCTTTTCTAAATCCAGAAATGTGACGAGAATTCCTTACCTTTATCATGGCACTGTTCACTTATATGCTTCAATGTAAATGTTTCATCTTCAAATACTTACCTTTCCTAAATCCACCTCCTCATGCCTCAGCAATCCTGCTGCACCCGGTATACTCACCGTTTCCATATAATTCTTACACTCTTCCGTATCCCCTTTTTCTTATTCAAAGGAGCTGTGCATATTCTCTGCTAATTCTTAGGCATATTCCCTTCTTTCATGCATATATTGAACAAATAAACCAACTACTTCTAAATTATATCTCCACCAGCTTTTAACATTCCATTATAAACCCATCTATTTCACCTGTTTTACCCCATTTTATTCTACCCACTGTCTCATTCACTGACTCCACATCCACTTCTGGCTTTTACTTACTCGTACGATTATTATTATTATCAAAAGGAAGCGCTAAACCTACCAGGGTCACTTACTCGTACGAGATGTTAATCATCCTTGCACAGTGTATGAAATTTCCGCCTCCTGTCATCAGCGTCGAGCAGCTTCTCAACAAACATAACATCTCCATCTTTAAAATGCTTTAATCTTCCCGTCTATTCTTTATTCTATATAAAATTTGCTAATAAAGCCTCATCTTTTCTCTCATTTAGTGCCGGATTTAGGTGGTGGGGGCCCTGTGCCCAGTTTGGTGGGGGCCCTGTGCCCAGTTTGGTGGGGGCCCCTTGCATTAAAAGGTATAACTCTAATGGTTAGAAGACTTATAAGTTTCTCCTTAGAAAACTTTCGCCACTCTCAATATACGTACCATCCTCTTAAGATGAAGAAATGAAACAATAAATTGGATTAGTAGTGTATTTTAGCAGCCTCTCGGTTCATTTGCAAGTGTAACTCAAAAATAATCTACAGACTTATGTGGAGTTATCTCCAATCAGATAAAATATTATAAGGCAGGTACATTCCGTGCTTTTCTGATAGAAGTCTCAGATGACTCCATCAAAATCCAGCGAATGCAGGATGTCAGATTCTATGCTCATGACCGTCAGGTTCACAAGCCGCCCTTGCTTCATGCTCGCTCGTGGCCGGTTCTCACTACCACACTGTTGTTCACATACTGGCCACGATCAAGCATTCATACTGCAGTGCCCTACACACCCAGGATGATGATGTGCTGTGAGTTATCCTCACGTCATGCAGCTGACGGCGCGCTTGCACCGATGATGTAACACCAGCGATCAGATGACTCAACATGACAATCCCACAATAATTCAAACTCTTGCATACATTTTCTCTTTTTGCGATCTATTCAATTCTCAGTGTAATGTGTCATAATATTTTTCGTCATTTGGTGGGGGGCCCTTCTGGTGGGGGCCCAGGGCCCCTTTCCTAAATCTGGCCCTGCTCTCATTGACTCTCCTTTTGCACTCCCTCTCCACTCGTTAAGCCTCTTTTTTCTCTCCATATATATTTTCCTTTAGTATATTTTTTTACATAGTAAAAAGCACTCCCTATGATAACTACTCAATGCCCTCACTTTATTCCACCAATCATTCCTCTCTTCTTTCCCAAGCACCGACCCTTCTATAATCACAAACTTGCTGCACACTAACACTGCATTCTTATATCTACCCCATGTGTTTTTGATCTCTCCCTGTACTCACTGTAGTCCATCTTCCGGCCAATACCTGCTTACATTTTTCTGTTTCCTTATTTAGTTCATTCAGTTTCACCTCTCATATCCAAAGATGCCATTCTCATTTTACTCCATCTGCCTCTTTCTTTTACTGTAACTTTCTCTTAATAATGATTTGAAATGTCAGTTACTCGTCTATAAATATGCATGTACAGTAGTCTACCCATCAACCATTTATCTAATAAAATTTTTATACATTTGTTTAACACCCCTCAAAATTTCTCCTCTACACTTCTTTTTTCTCCAGATACATAAAAATTTACTATTTATTATGTGTACATACATGCACAAGTGCCTCTGTGTAGTTTATAGTGGATATTGTAATTAAATATTTGTCGATGTGTGTACACCTGGAGAGTAAATATCTTAGTTTATGTATATGTACTTTTAATCCCTATATGCCTATATCTGGTATTAGAGTATTTTAGGTTGGTAAACAGGTGACATGCAGTCTTCATGATTCTTGTGTGTCGATAGGCTTTAAGTCAAGGCACAGCAATGAGCAGATTATCACTACGACTACAGATTAATAGCTAAGGAAATTATAATTACAATTTGATAATTAACAGAGTAACAGTAGCTTCATTCTTAATATATAATAATATAAAATTGACCAAGGGACATAGAACTGTTAATGCTTAACTAGGAGGGTCATTATCTGACGAACATTCGCATCTCACGAGACAGTTTCAGTTTTCTTAACGAATAAAATACCTTTACCTCTCTATAAATAGCATTTAGCTAAATTTTAAGTTTTATGAAGTGAAAAAAATTATGGTGCAAAACGAACTTCTACTGGAACAATGTTTCACACTTCGTAGAGTTTTTATCAGGTCAAGCTTCTGTAGGAACAGGTCTTTTCTGTACTCTTGCTTATTTGAATACAAAATTACTTACGGTGTGTTTTCAGGGTGCGGTGCAACACAAGAACAGTGACCCCAAGACACAAGTGACAGCTAGCTGGGTTCCTGAGGACTTCAAAGGCCAGGTGCAATTCAGGTAATATATTCAAAATTGCTAAGGAGGAGTTGGTGAGGCGGGTTGAGTATTCAGAAAGGGTGGAACAGAATACAGTGACTGTCAAGTGTATTTCAGTCTGGGGTGGAAAAGAGGGTTAGGGATCATCCCAGCAAGAGTTGGTGGGAGTGGAAAAAAAAAGGTTGTGTGAGTTAGATCGAGTTGAGGGAGACAAGTGAATTTTATGACTTCTCATGCTATTAGAGTGTAAGCATGGTAATATGAAGGTAATTAATCAGGAAAACTATTTAGTTTTACTAGAGTTCTCGAGGTAGGAAGCACAATGCCTGCACTCCGAGGAGGAGTGACGATGTTGCAGTTCGGAGGGTTGTATGAATTGTGATGCCAACATAATTCTGGCAAGACAGCGATGAATGAATGATATAAGCATTTATTTACGGTGACTCAAAAATAAAAGGATTCTGTCGCATTCTTTCGTTCTCAAATGTAGAATTTCTGCTCACTTGTTTCAAAATTTTAAGATTAGAGTTAGTGAACACAGGGGATTAGCACACAGGAGACTTACTGATCTGGCCAAGGCACCTCACTCAACTACCAAAATTTATTCTGACTCACAATTAAGCACTGGATACAAGTGGCAGGGGTAAAGGAGATTTGTGTTAGAGGGGCTTGGACTTCCTGCAAAAATGCGTTGAGCGTGTTAGATAGGAGCGAATGGAGGCAAATGGGTATTGGACTTGACGTGCTGTTGGAGTATGCACAAGGTAACATGAAGGGATTCAGTGAAACTGGCAGGCCGGGTTTGAGTCCTGGAGCTGGGAAGGAGAGTGCCTGCACTCTGAAGGAGGGGTGTTAATGTTGCAGGTTTATAACTGTAGCGTAAGCACGCCTCTGGCAAGACAGTGTTGGAGTGAATGATGGTGAAAGTTTTTCTTTTTCGAGCCACTCTGCTCCTTGGTGGGAGACGGCCGATGTGTTAATATATATATATAATATATATATATATATATATATATATATATATAATATATATATATATATATATATATAATATATATATGTATATATGTATGTATGTATGTATGTATGTATGTATATAGTTTAAAATATACTATACCAATAAAGGGGTAACCCCAAATAGTTGTCAGCCCAGATAACATCCCGTCTAAGTTCCTAAAAGATGGTGCCTCTGAATTGCCAGTCCCCATTGCTCACATAATAAATTTGTCCATCACCACTAACACTGTACCAGAGGGGTTCAAGGAGGCCAGAGTTACTCCTATCTTTAAGAAAAAATAGTAGGTCTGATGTCAGCAACTATAGCCCTGTTAGTATACTCAGTATAATATCCAAAATTCTAGAGAGGGCGGTGTACTGTCTAGTTAATATCTTAATGATAACATTGTTCAGTTACCAATCATGCTTTAGGAGATCTTATTCAACCGACACATCCCTAATTAATCTGATGGATTACATACGAAATGAAATGTCGATAGGGTCAACCACAATATATTATGTAAGAAACTTCAATGGTTCCGTAGATTGGTTTAAGTCCTATCTTAACAATAGAAAACAAATTGTCAAAATCAACAAAACAGAATCAGAACCCCTGCCGATAGCATGTGGAGTATTCTGGTTTCCTTATTGCTTCTATGTTATGTAAACGACTTGCCCATCAGTGTCAAGTGCAAACTCCTACTATTTGCGGATGACAGTGCTCTGTTAGTGTCGGGTAAAGACCCACAAGATATGGCTTATGTAAAAGACACTGGAACTGGAGTCCTGCAGCAAATGGTTACTAGACAAACTATCGTTACACATCGGGAAAACAGAAGACATACTCTTTGGCACGAAACAAACTGAGAAGGGTAAATAATTTTAATGTCCGGTGTAATGGGGAACCCATCACTTCAGTTTCCTCAGTAAAATATCTGGAAATCCCGTAGTTGTACGTACCTCCTCCCATGGGAGACTTAGGTCTCGGGATACTCCCCAGATAGGGAGCCAAGGCCGGGTCACCACTACTTGGAAAAGACCCGGGCCGGGGGAATACCGGCGAATAAGAAAAAAAAATGCATGTCAGGAAAATTGATAGGAAACAGCGTAGTAAAGAAAGCGAATACCAGACTGAAGTTCCTTTATAGACAAGCACAGTGTCTACCTACCGAGGCTCGCAGGACCTTATGTCTAGCCCTTATACAATGTTACATGGACTACGCTTGCTCTTCATGGTACTCTACCTTGATAAAAAAAACTGTAAGATAGACTGCAAATCACCCAGAACAAAATAGTAAGATTCATACTGAACCTGGGTCCAAGAGAACATGTAGGCCAGGATGAATTACAATAATTGGATATGTTGAATGTTGAAGACAGAATAAAACAACTGAAGTTAAATCAAGTTTATAAAATTGCTCACAAACAGTGTCCAGAATATCTTGCTGCCAATTTTGTCAAGGTTGAGAACCAAAGCAACCATAGTACTAGGGGGAGAGAGAACACAACTTTGTAGTACCCACAGTCAGTGGCCAGGCTTCAAACATGTTTTATTGTACAGTAATAAAGGAATGGAACAGACTACCCGCACATGTCAAAGCCAGTCATAATATGAACCAGTTCAAGAAGAGAATCAAAAGGTACCTAATGAAGGTAGCGACATTATTATTATTATAATCAAGGGGGAAGCGCTAAACCCGGAGGATTATACAGCGCCTGGGGGGGATGTGGAAGGCATTCAGGCTTAATTCGGGGAACTGGAGCACAGATCCAATTCCCTAAATCAAGAGCCCCTCACCAACATCAAGGAACCTTCCTTGAGGGGAAAGGTAGCGACAGAAAGAGAGGAGAATGAGTTTTTTTTTTTTTTTTTTTTTTTTTTTTTTAGCTAACATACATGTAAATATAAATAACTCATTTTACTTTATTCCTAGTATATCTCCTTTATAGTATAATAATAAGATATATCTTCTTTATAGTATAATAATAAGGTATTAAAAGGACCCCAATGGAAATAAGTCACTCTGACTTTTTTGGGTTATCCTAGGTTCTTTACACATTGCTACTATGTATGATAATCTATGTAACTGTATTTATGTATACCTGAATAAACTTACTTATAGTGACATATTTGATGTTGTCAGGGCGACTGTAGTAGAGTCCTACACGACTTACTGGGTGAACCTGCTGTCTCAGCCACTCACCGTCTAGCAACATGGATGAGCCTACCGTCTGAAATACTCACCGTCTGAATATCTTAATGGACCGTGTAGCCACTAGGATGGATGTCCTCTATGACCCTCTTCATTTAATATGGCGAGGATGGCACCTATACAGCCCAGTAGCATTCAGGCTTCCTCTACGTTAGACACACCAGTATTGAAAGTTTGAAGCTGATCAGAAGTAGCATTGTTAAGTTATCGAATGACAAATTCAAAGGAAAAAAAATCCGATAATCTCTATAGGTATCTTTCCAGGGGTACCTAATTTACAGATTATATTATTTGATGTTAAAGGTGTACTTAGTTAATACTTGTTATTTGTGTCACATATACTAATAATTATTTTTTTACCGTTGTTGTCGAAATGTTTTATCAAGTTTTGGCATAAAAATTATACGTAATGCTCACTTATATTACGTCACTGCAGTACAGCAACACAGTACTGTACATCTACACTTCGCTTACTTCGTCTTCGATCAACGTTGATGTCTCCAAGATTCTAGCTCATCTTTGTATCCGACATGAAGCCTACAGTGCAAGGCAAAGTGTTTCATTAATAAAGATTCCTAGTGTTGCAAATGTGTCTTTCTTATGAACTTGTCCGTATTGTATACCATTTATTACACGATCCTTGTCTAACACTGCAAAATAATGGTAACTCGGTGCAAGGAATGCCTTCAGCAACTCTTCTGTTAACAAATGTTTAACATGACCTATTCCTACTTGTAGGTCCAGCTCACCTGTGACCTCATCTCCAAGCTGCTACGCCTCATCTTCACGTAAATAAGTACATCAAACTACATCTAAACTTCGTCTACTTCGTCTTCCATCATTGCCGATGTCTCCAGGATTCTGATTCATCTCTGTATTCGACTGATGAAGCCTGCAGTGCAGGCGAAACTTTTCGTCAATAAAGATTTCTAATATTGTACAGTATTGTGCAGCATATATGACACAATTTGTATCTTACAAACTATTTACTACGCGAGGGTCATTAAAGCATCATGTAACCTGTTCACTGCCAGTCAACAGTACTTAATCCCTAAAGTAGGGGTTAAAGTGAACCGCTTATGTACATACACTGAGGGACATGTTCATAAGAACAAAAGAAAGAACTGCAACAGGCTTACTGGCCATGCTAGGCAGCTCCAATTCACACCAACCCACACCCAATCATGTACCAGTCCAACCTATTTAAAGCTACTCAAAGTTCTTGCTTCGATACACCTAATGATATATATATATATATATATATATATATATATATATATATATATATATATATATATATATATATATATATATATATATATATATATATATATATATATATATATATATGCAAAACAACCACTCTGAAAGAATAGAGAAATTCCAAGCGCTTTCGTGACTACTCACATTATCAAGGAACTATGAAAGTAAAGCATCCAAGGAAGCTA